GAATTTTCTGTCTTCTGGGGCCTGTTTGCTTTTTAATAATAAATATATTGGCCTGATACTTGTGTTCTTTTTATTTATAAAGAGCCGGGGCACAGGCCAGAGGCGCGGGAGGGTGAGAGGACTCACCAGACAGAGCGGGGAGCAGAGCAGGCAGAGGGACCGAAGTCCACTGCTGCGGGGAGCAGCGGGCGAGACGGGAGGGGTCTGCTCGCCACGGGTTGCTCGAGGCCGGCGGGCATGGGACCGGCGCTGCAGGGGCTGCGGGCAGCCGCCCAGCTCTGTGCTCAACCGCCTGCGCCAGGCGGGATCAAACCCATGCTGCAGAGGCTGCGGGCAGCTGCCACCGGGGAGGCCCCGAGACTTCCGTTCTTAACCAAACGGGGGTGGGGGGCAGGGGCGGGGCCAGGGAGGGGGTGCCACCGCGAAGTGAAGTTTGGTGAAAGGAAGGTGTCCAAGTTCTGTCTATGGCTCCGCGGGTTAAGAACGAGTCCTGCTGCGTCTGGGCCGGAGGGGCCGGCAGTGTCCCTGCCCCCTCCTACCGCGCAAAGAAAGGCCTGCGCTCTGGAGTCGTCAGAGCGAGTCAGCACGTAACTTGGGGGGGGGGGTGGAGGACCCCCTTGGCTCCAGCAGGGAGACCCGCTCTCGCCGCCTGCCCTCATTTAATCCACGGCCACGCGACAGCCCCAGAGAGCCTTGGATTTGTCAGCCGCCGCCAGGCACAGAACCTCACGGAGCAGAGAGCTGCCCCTGTGCGGGGCCTTCTCCTGCAGCTCAGTGACTCCCGTGAGAGTGCCCGGGGTCCGTGCCCTTGCCCCGCACCTGGGCGAGCGTCCACACATTAAGGGCAGCCGGATCCTTCATCACGCTCTGGGTTCAATCTCGTGATAATTCCACGCCCCAAATCACATCACTTGAATACATTATAATTTACTCACCAGACTTTGTTTTTTGAGATTTATTCTATTTATCTATGCACACAAGAGCTGGGGTGCAGGTCAGAGGTGCGGGGGTGACAGGACTCCCCAGAGGCAGAGCGGGGAGCAGAACAGACGGATCCACTGAACTCCACTGCTGAGGGGAGCAGCAGGGAGACAGCAGACCCTGTGGGTCAGCTCCCTGGCTGGGGATGGAACTCAGGCCACAGCAGCTGCTGGTAGCTCAAGAGCACTGACACTTGACCCCTGTGCCTCTGGGAGGCACGAATTTACCGTGTTTAAAGTGCCCTGGCCTCCACCCCAGTTCCTTTTTGCACAAATAAAGAAATCTTTAAAAAAAAAAAAATAGGGGGGAGAAGGATGGACAGATGTGTCTCAGAAGCAAGTCTGCTCCCCGACGGTTTTCAGATTTTGCCCTGGGGCTCCCCACACAGGCCACAGGGTGAGTCTCAGTATTGTCAGCTGTCACCAGCCACGGCGGCAAGAGCTGCCCACAGGTGCCACAGGCTCTCCTGCCTCCCCAGCGCTGTGGAGTTCAGTATATCTGCCTGCTCTGCTCCCCACTCTGTCTCTGGGGAGTCCTCTCACCACCCCACCCCCCCCGCTGTGTTACACCCCAGCTCTTCTATGCATAAATATTTTTAAATATTTATTTATTTATACAAGCACTGGGTACAGTCAGAAGCGCGGGAGGGTGAGAGAATTCACCAGAGTCAGAGCAGCGAGCAGAGCAGGCAGACTGACAAAATACACTGCTGAGGGGAGCAGCCGGCGGCAGGAGAGGTCTGCGCGCCATGTGGGGCCCTCACCTGGTGGCCGGGAATCGAACCGGCGCTGCAGAGGCTTCGGGCAGCTTTGCAACCCAGCGCTAACTGCTGTGCCACCGGGGAGGCCCAAAATAATATTTATTTGAAATAAGCCAGTGTTGGGCCTCCCCAGGTGGTGCAGGCGGTTGAGCGCCGCACTGGGAAGCTGTCCGCAGTCTCTGGGGCACCGGTTCAATCCCCGCCAGTCCGCGAGGGTCCTCTCCTGCCTCCCCACTGTTCCCCTCAGCAGTGTATTTTGTCAGTCTGCCTGTTCTGCCCCCCACTCTGTCTCTGGGGAATCCTCTCACCCTCCCCTGACTGCACCCCAGCTCGTCTATGCATAAATAAATAAAATATTTCATTATTTTATTGTTTTAGTATTTTATTATTATTTATTATATTTTTATAGTATATTAAATAATGAGATTATATTTAATTAATTATATTTAAATTAAGTCATATAATATGATATTATAAATATATATTAAATAATTTTATTATTTTAATATTTTAGATTTTATTATTTTATTATCCCCTCAGCCTCAATCCCGGGACCCCTCCCCTCAGCCCCGATCCCGGGACCGCCCCACCCCCGGCCTCAGCGTCCCCGTTCGGCGCCCTGGGGTCTCCCGCGCACAGGCCGCGAGGCACCGGGGAACCCCGGGCTGTCGTCGTGGGCGCCGCAGGCCTCCGCCCCCGCGCACTGGGCCCTCCGCCGCCCGCCCTCCTGCCCCGCCTCGCCCTCCTCTGCTTCCTGCAAGTTCGTGGCGGGGCGTGGGCGCCCGGGGCCCTCCCGGCCATGAGCCCCGCGCGCCCCGGAGGGCCCCAGGGAGTGGGGACAGTCTGTAAAGAGCATTTCCTCTGTGAATAGTTACATCGCCACACATGATCTTCATACCCCAAGATGAACCTGAGTCTTTGATCTGATGTTGGGAACGTGTTTGAAGGAGCTGCCAAGTCTCCCCCATCTCCCCTGCAGTCCTGGCCAAAACATCCTTGGGGAAATGAAACACAATCACTTTAAAATGGTTTGTTAGGAGCTAACTCCCTCCTGTGCTGTTTCGGCAGGAGACTTTAAGGGCTCCACCTGCAAACACTGGAGAAAGCCACTTAGACTAGGGTTTCCCGTCTGTGGATTTTCGCTACCTTGGGTCTGGAAAGTGGTGGAAGATCCGAAAGCTCAACATGTGACTGTGCCCAAAGGTTTTGATAGGAAGATTCCGCAGGGAGTGTACCCCCAGGGTATACCGGACACCTGCATGCCTTCATCTGGGCTCATTTAAAGCCTCCACCCCTGGGGCCTCCCGGGTGCGCAGCGGGCGCACGGGCGCGGCCGCCCGGAGCGGGCTCGAGGGCTTCGGGGCTCTCCAGGCGCCGCCAGCAGTGAGCCCGCAGCTCCCACGAGGAAGCCCCTAGCGGGAAACCCCCGAGGAAGAGTCCTGGGGGAGACGCGCGGCGGGCGGCTCTGCGGCCTCCTCGTTCCTTCCGAACTGGACAAGTTCATTACAGTATATAAAGCTGGCACTGTCCTATCCGTCCATCATAACATCAGTCATCTCACGGATGATTTCAACTTCAGTCCTTTTAATCTTTTTTTAGATTTATTTATTTATTTATACAAGCACTGGGCGCAGTCAGAAGCGCGGGAGGGTGAGAGGATCCACCAGAGCCAGAGCAGGGAGCAGAGCAGGCAGAAGGACCGAAGGACACTGCTGAGGGGAGCAGCGGACAAGCCCAGCGCTCAACCGCTGCGCCATCGGGGAGCCCCCCCCCCAAGAAAATGATCTTTCACATTTTAAGCTGAAAGGAAAGTCGGGAAAACCATCCCGGGAAGCCTGCACGCTCAGCACCGTTCATCTCGCGGTGGCCGCAGACACTTTGTGTCCAGTTCGGAAACCAGAGCCGTCGCGCCGGTCGCCAGTGACGGGAGCGCAGCACCAGTTTGATCCCTGGCCACTGGCAAGGCGCCCCCGCTGCTCCCCCCCCCCGCAGTGTACTTCGTCAGTCTGCCTGTTCTGCTCCCTGCTCTGGCTCTGGCGAATTCTCTCACTCTCCCGCGCTTCTGACTGTACCCAGTGCTTGTATAAATAAACCAATCTTAAAAAAAAAAAAGCCTCCCCGCCCTGCGGCCTGGGTCCATTCCTGGCCAGGGACTGACCCACAGGGCACAGCAGACTCCCCTGTCTCCCCGCTGCTCCCTCAGCCGTGGATCTCAGTGGAGCCACCTGTTCTGCTCCCCACTCTATCTCTGGGGAGTCCTCACTGCCCTGCACCTCAGATCTACACCCCAGTTCTTCTATGCTTAAGTAAATAAATATAAAAGGAATCACTCCAACCCAGTAAATTTTTTGTGTAAAGGTAACAAAGCACCTAACAGATTTATCCTCTTAACAATATTTAAGTGCCCAGGATATATTTTAGCTACGTGCACATCACTGTCCAATGGCTGTCTAGAACTCTTCTCCATCTTCGGGACCAGAACACCATGCCCACTGAAAACAGCTCCAAGTCCTCCTCACCTGTTCCCTGGTGGCCGCCATGTCCTTTACTCTTTCCATGAACTGATTACTTAGGCCGCTCCCATGGATGGAGTCGGCAGCATCTGTCTTCCGTGAGCGGCTGTCGTGATGTCCTATCAGCAAGGTCCAGTGATGTGGTGGCATATGCCAGGGTTTTCTTCTGTTCTAAGACTGAATGATACTCCACTACATGCATAGACCACACTTTCATTGCCCAACATCCCTCGGTAGACGTAGAGGCTGTTTCCATGACTGG